GAAGTAGGACCATGTTCCCGCATCAGTTCTGGAGCTGCTTCCCTACTCCAAATATTGAAGCCTTAAATCAAAATTAATAAAAAACCATTTAGTCTTTTGTAAATGTAAGAACCTTAGAAGAAAGATCTCTGTAGATTATAGGAGGTCTCTGGCAGCTGTGATGAGCTGGCAATGGCAAAATGTTTACATGAACCACAGATCTCTTGGAATGGGGTGGAAGTGCCTCTGTGTTTCAGTCCCGCCACCTTCACCTGACTGGGTGACCCAGGCCATTCCTGCCACCCCTGCATCCCACCCTGTCCCCAGGAAGAGAAAACAAAACATCCTGTCCTGTCCAGCCCTCCCCAGCCCACTGTGAATTCAAAGGGCATTTCTTAGGACATGGGGCAGCCCTGCACCCTCCCATCCCTAGCCAGGAGACACTTGCAAGGGCTTGGGAAGGTTGGGGATTACTGAATGGAGGGGAGGAGATGGATCAGGAGAAAAACACAGAAACAATGATAAAATATATGTTCCAGTGCCCTCCCACTCTGATTATGGAGGCCTGGTCCAGGTCAGAGACTGCAGTCTCACCTGGGTACTCGGACACACCACCAGCCAAGCAAGCACAGCCACCAGAATTCCTGGGTGGAATTCTGGTGTGGAAAGAGCCTGCTCTAGCTCAGATTAATGGCTCCAAGCCTTCCTGGTCTGTGCCTCAGAGATGTATGCATGAGCAAGCTCTATCCCAATCACACCACCATCTCAAAGGAGTCTGGCTTGCTTTTAAATGTAAGAGAAAACAGAGGGTCCCAGGATACAATATTCCAAGTTTCAACAAAAGCTGGGAATGGTACAAGTATTTACCTGATGAAAACTGAAAAAAATACCATTTGGAGTCTAACACTCTGCATTCCAGCTTGTGGATGCCAAATGTTTTAACACAGACTGAAATCAAATCCCCCCCTCTAATAGAGAAGCAGGTAACAGAATATTCAGAAAGCAAAAAGCAAACAAACAAGCTCTCTTCGGAGATTAGCAGATTTCATCTTTTACAGTCAACTTTAGTTTCTGAGAGAAGAAATGTTCTTAAAGCTTAACCATTTCCCTCCCCTTTTTGACAGATCCCCAAAATGTCACCAAAGAAATTATTATTTGCCCAGTACTGCACAGAAAAGAGCAAAGCTAACAGAAAGAAAGCCCCATATTCAGATTCCCACCTCTGTCATATGCCTTCTCTTCTCCAAGAGACTGAACACATTGCTGCCTAGAGAGGGGTATCAGTTAAAATGTCCTATTAATCAGGGTTTCACAAATCACCCAAATCCCATGGCAGCATTCAAATGTCTTCTAGTGAATGTCCCTGAAAGGTTAAATCATTTCAGAGTCATTCCAAGCACATAACCAAAGAAACAGCTGCAGGTAGGCAGAAACAAACAAAAGAAAACAAGGAAATGAAAAATGAAACAAAAGAAAAGAAGTAAAATAATTTTCATAATTTTAAGAGACTTAAGATTGATAGTTTTAACTACCAGAATCACAGTGTGCAAATGCTGAGACTTGCAACAGATTCATTCCCCCGAAATCACATCCTGAATCATAAGAAATTATGTTCAGTGGTGCAAACCAGGCATCATGGCATAGCAATGACTTTTAATACATCTGAAATAACTTTGCACAGTCCAAAATAAATAGATGAATTAACTGCAGACTTTCCTAAATGAAAGACACTTCAACAGATTTTCAAGCCCAATCCACAGTCTTAGAGCAGGTTGAGTAATTTCCTCTAGGTTCACCCATCATGAAAACCAAGGAGCATCAGAAGAACATAAAAAATGCTTCCTCCTGCTCCACTGTGATACCCCCTTCATTCTCTCCTCTTCCTATGCAACGAGTCCAGTTTCCTCACAGAAACCCTTTCACAACTTGGGTCATCACTGCATCCCCTTCTTTCCAGATCAATTTTTTTAAAATTTATGAATGGGACTAGCACCACACATCACATTCCAGAAACTAATGGGAATGTTTTAAGTTTTACTTTTTTTCTGCTTCCCTAACAGTTTTAGGATCCAGTTTACTGTTTCTGACTGCTGACCTTTCCACAGAGGTCACTCACATGCCGTGACAATCCAAAGAAACACATGTAAAATTATGATGCTCCCTTCAGATGTATTTATCTCCATGCAGTTTTTCTGACATTTTACCACTTCACTACTCAGCACAAGGACCCTGAATAATCCTTTGCTGTTGGTTCTAGGGATTCAGTCTCCTCTCTCCATGTAGGCACCTCACCATGCTGCCCTGTGTTAGTTTTGCCTGGCTTGGTTTTTGGCTGGACCAGCGACCACCTCCACCAACCCATCCCAGCCACCTCCTGCCAGCTTCCTGCTGCTGTTTGCTCAAGGGGGAGAGGGAACACAGCCACGTGGGTAGTTTATTTGTGCTGAGAATCTTTTCAGGGCCTCCATCAAATCCATTTGCAAATGCGATTAAGTGGCATCAATGCAGTGGAATCAACTGCTGCCCACACGCTCAGCAGTCCCTGCAGAGAGCTCCAGCAGATTCCAGCCATGATTTCTCCCTGCAGGAACTGTGCTGTCTCCCCCAGTGCATCACGTTTCAGCACTCAATTCTGCTGTTCAGAACAGTTTCTACCCTGTTGCCTGGCACAGACATCAGGCCTACTGGCAACAACAGACACAAACATTCTGCGGATTATCAGGTTCTTTGTCAAGTACAAGGTAGTGGACATAAGAGCTGTAATAAACTGTGCTGGCCCTCAGCTGGGCATGCCTGTAAGAGCCAAGACAATTTCCAGATGTCTCAGTACTGCAAGATACCAAGTTAGCGATAATGGCTTCAGCTACCGCTGTGTCTTCTCTTTGTTTGATTAAAAAATAATACAGAAGGAAAGATCTGATAAGCTTATTTCTCCAGGGAAAAGAAGGGGTCAGAAACATACACTTGATAGACAAGCCTGCATTCAGCAAGCATCCTGGCTATGGGAAAAAAGGACAGACCACAGGAAGAAAGCATCACAAAACCAGCAGCACTATGCAAAGCAAGGCTTGATACAAAGAGGATTGATGGAGAGTCATCTGACCCCAAGCATTTAAAACAAGGCTGTTATGTAGCATTACAAAACAATTCTGTTTCAGGGCATATGTAGAAGAGAAGGCATTTGTGGTAAACCAGCCTTTTAACAACACACTTAAGATGCACTCCATTTATCACAGTCACAAAATCGTATGACGTCCAGAGAATCTCAGAAACATTGGAACGTGACTAACTATTATTCAAATCCAATCAGCGCATCTATTTTAAAGAAGAAATCATCAGTTAAATCTTTCTGGACGTCAACGCCAAATTTAACTATTAAAAAAAAAAAATTAGTGTGATATTATATAACACCTAACATAATATTTAACGGCATATATATTGTCACATATAAGAGACATCAGGGCATATCTTGCTTTAGAAATCATGCACTGGAAGTTTTATTTTTAGAATTCGAGGTCTGAGTGGTCCCTCAACAGTTATGTCCATTTTGTCCAGAACAACCAAATCTGATGATTCTAGAGATCTGTCTAGTCCAGTACCCTGTCACTGACAGTGAGTGACAGTAAGTGCCCAGAGGAGACTCTAAAAAAAATGTTAATACATGGATATGCTTCCTCAGAATATTCCCCCAGCCTGCAATGATTTGTTCTCACACTAACTCATAAGGTTGCAATTTGTGTCTGCATATTTTATAGTCTTTGATGGATTTCAACTCCCAAGAACGTGTATGGCAGATTTCAAATCTGTGTACACTGCTTATACCCACAGTGCCCTGTGGGAAGAAGTTTTGTATTTTTTGTACTCTGTGTGAAGCAGCAGCGCCTTTTGCCTTCCCTATCCAACTGATCCTAATTAGCTCCTTATGCTTAAGGTGGAAGAGAGCAATTAGCTCTCCACACACTTTTTCCATGCCAAACACTTTTGGAATTCTTGGGCAGATACTTTTGGATCTGACAACCCGCCATTTTCCATTTTGTCAGCTGACCTGCAACCCTGTCTACCAACACCCCAATCTATAAACACACACTCCCCTCTGTCTTGAAAAGAAAAAAAATCAAATACTCTAGGCTAAAAAAACCCTCTCCTGATTTAAGACAGACACAAAGTGGTGATACAACAATTTTATTACTGCTCTGTCATCCCAACTGTTTCTTTCACTTTCTCTCCATCCACAGGTATTGTAGATTCTCTGGTAGCCTTCTCTCCACGTGCTGCCTGGAAAGAATCACTAGTTTTTTATGCCTGCATCTTCATTGCTCTCCTTGTGCCAGTATGTTGATACTCAGATTCACCTTCCACATCTCCATTACCTAAACCTCCTTTGTTTATGCCCCACCACCCGCTCCGGGTGCTTCCCAGTGTCTCCCCATCCTTCCAGCGAATACCAGGCACACTTCCTTCATATCACCTGCTTTCCTGCACAGCCAGCCTCCCACAGCCAGTCTGTTCTGCCATCATATCTTGTGCTCAGTCTCTTCCCTCACTTCACAGGTTTCAAATTCCTCTTATTCCTTCCCCCATCAGACATTTCAAAGACTCCTAATTCAATGAAAGATGACAAGCCCCGGCCTCTTTTCCTGTAAATACTTCATTTTCTCACTGTGACCATTACCGCTGCTTTCAGCCTGCTATATCCATCCCCTCTGGGGGCTGTCATGATTTCCTCCTCTTCTCTCTCTCTCTTTTCTCCTCTCCTTTGCAGTGCCTATGCTTTGAAGCCTGCCCTTCCAAGACAACACTTGTTTTGTTTGTCCTCTCCGGGACAGATGCCTGCTTTGTGTTTGAAAGAGCACTGGGCATGCTGTGGCCACAAACCCCCAAGGAGCTGCAGCCCTGGCACAGTGACTGCAGCAAGGGTGGCACAGAGCAGCCACAGAGACCTGCCTTAGGACAGGCCATGGACTGAAAAATGCAGGATCCTAAAAACCTCCAGTGGTCATGAACAGCAGCCAAGGCCTTACCTTCTCCCACCACGCAGCCTTTCGCTGAGCTACAAGCTGATGCAGTTGCTCCTGGAGAGCCACCAGGTCTCTGGATAATCTGTCCATTTGCCCAGTCAGCTTGGCAGCCCAGGGGGTGGCCTCTGGCAGCCTTCTTTTCTCCACATGTACATCCTGGGACTCACACAGATTTCCCTCTTCAGCCATATTATCCAAAACAGTTTCCTAAACAAAAACCAATAGAAGTTACTTTTCAGTAGGAGTTAAAATGGTTTCCCCCATCCTCCTGGTAATTCATAGCTAGGAATTCACTGCTGCCATCTCAATATACAGTTGCTCCACAAATTCAGAGTTATTTCAAGAGAGAACCCCTCAGTTCACTATAACATATTTCCAAGTTAACAGAAAACTTACTTTGCTAACCTAGCTTATTTTAGAAAGCACTGCACAGTCAGCTACTCTCCACTGCACTAAAGCATAAAGTAACACTCCTGAGATGGAGGTGAACAGCACTGCAGCAGCTCTAGATATGCCTTTCCTCTCAAATTCTGAGCTTGGATGCACTTCTAGGGCTTTTGGTAACAAAGTGATGACCAGGGAGGTACATGCCAACACAGGAAAGCACCACCTGCTCTAACACCCACAGGGTCCCTCGTGCCCATGGAAAACTCCACAAGTTGAGGAACTTGGGATCCTTGATTCAGCCTGGTCAGGAGCTGACAGCTCTCCTTGACCACAACCATCTAGCTGGTTTTTGATAATTAACTATGCAATTGC